TGAGTGGGCCGATTTATGTTTAGTTTGTTTTCTTTTAAATTAAGAAGTTGTTGGGCCTTGGGCCCATTAGTTTTTTATTTTTAAAAGAATTGTAAGTACTTAGTTTGAGTTGCCGCCCTACTAGGGGCATCTTTGTAATATCCTATATTTAAGTTAATTATAAATAGAATGAGGGGCTGGTGGCTAGGGTTATGAATCACTATCCTAGTCGACCTTCTCCTTTCCTTCCCTTTCCTCTGTCTATTGTTGAAACCCCCAACTTTCTCCTCTTCCTTTCACAAGAAGCTTGGCCTAATTAGCACATAAGGCTTTCTACTAGGAAACAAGCAGTAAGTACAGCATCAATCCAAAATCGTTTAGGAACACTCATATGATGAGGAATAGATCGAGTAGTTTCAAGGAGATGACGGTTCTTTCGTTCAGCCACCCCATCTTGTTGAGAAATGGATGCACATGAAGTTTGATGAATGAACGAAAGTATTCACGATCGTTATCTGAATGAAGAACTTTGATTGGAAAGCCAAATTGTGTATGTATTTCAGCATGGAATTTTTGAAAAATGGAAAATAATTCACTCCTTTCTTTCATTAAATAAATCCATGTCATCCTTGAAMAATCATCAATAAAAGTGACAAAATACTTGTAACCATTATAAGACTCTATTTTAATCGGACCCCAAACATCTGAATAAACCAAAGCAAAAGGACTCAACATACGGCTATCAACCCTAGGACTAAAGGGAACCCAACGATGTTTCCCATACTAACACGACTCACACTGTAAAGACCATAAATGACTCAAAGACGAAACCAGTATCTTGAAAGCCTCGAGAGATGGATGCCCCAGTCGACAATGCCACTGTAGAGGAGTGAGTGAAGTCTGAAGTACAACTGACGATCCACCACCGTCAAGGTAGTACAATCCAACGGCCTCATGCCCCCCACAAATCTTCTTCCCCATCTTGAGATCCTGAAAAGTACAAAAGGAAGGGAAAATGCAATAGAGCAATTAAGAGTCTTAGTTAATTTACTGACAAACATAAGATTGAATGGAAATTTAGGTACATATAGAACCGATGATATAGAAAGAGAAGCTGTGTCAACATTACCAACACCACAAATAGGAGAAGAGGAACCGTTGGCAAGGGTAACAGTTTGAGATGTGGAAGTTTCAGAGAGGGAAGAGAACACACCTGGTGTCCCGATCATGTAATCAAAGGCTCCACAGTCAATAATCCAGGGAGAGGGTTTGGATGCCAGACAAGCTATACCTGAGTGTGCAAGGGTGGCTCTAGTATGTTGTGAAGGTGTTAGATCTGCCTGTTGGTTATCACTGACATCAACCCCGCCAACTACTGCATGATTAGCCCATGTAGGAGGTGGGCCATGGAGATCATAACAGAAATTCCTTTACCACGACCTCCTCGGGAGGCATGTCTTCCCCCTCTAGTACCACGTCCACCTCCTTTGGCTGTCACAAATGCTGATCTGTCAGACGGTGTGGGATTCTCTGTAGATCCCAAAGAAATCCTGCGAATCCGTGCAAAAACTTCCTCAAGTGTAGGAAGAGTAGAGCCTCCCAATATTTAGGCCCTAACTGGTTCATACTCTGATTTTAACCCCACTAAGAACCTAGTGACATCCAATTGCTCCCTTTGTTGTTGTTGTTGAACCTTGACATCTGGAGTGAGGGGATGATGAACCATTTCTGAGGTTCTTCATACTGGCATAGTACTCCTCTAGGGTTTTATTCCCTTGCTGTAGATCAAAATACTCCTGATAGAGCTGATATACCCTTGTAGTATTATCCTGCCCAGAATAAAGCTTCTTGGCATGTTCCCATATGTCCTTAGCTATATCTAAGAACATAAAGTTGGCACTTATTTTGGGTTCCATACTATTCCATAACCATGTCAT